AGGCAGAATAAAAGAGCTTTACAAAATATATGATAAGCTTATCAAAGAGATGGAATCTGAAGTGATTCAAATTGTGCAAGGCAATGAAACTACTGAATTTGCTTGTACTATTAGCAACCCAATCAGCATTAGAAAGAAAGGTCAAAAGCTCAAAAATGTGAGTGAGAATCATAAAGGCAAAAAAAAACAAGTGGTTGAATGTAATCAGAATAAAGAAAATAGCATTTATGATAATGACCATGGAGAATTGCCACATAAAAGGCTTCGAAAAGCATTACAAGATAATTTAAATACAGGTATGTATAAGTTTTAAATTTTTATCGTTTATCATATATTTCATATTTGTTAACATTTCTTTTATTTAGTGAATTTGGAATTAAATGAGAATGTAGAAGACGAAAGTAGTAAAAGCACATTTAGATGATGTGGAATTTGTAGCCAAAAAGGCCATAATGCACAAACTTATTCAAATAACAATTAAGTCAAGAACTAAATTTGTAGCTTATTAGTACTTTGTTTTTATTTTTTAATAAAGATTACTTTTTTCTGATTCCAATTGATACAAAAATTTTACATGCATATTTGAAATTAAATGATAAAGTACAATAGATCAAAATAAAATGATGCCTTGCATATATATAAAGCTAACGATACCCATTGCATTGCTTGCTAAACCTGTTATACTATCTACCTATTGTATTACTTACTAATCACTGGCGCTCTTGATATTTTGAAACCTTGATAAGTCAGACTATAAGTAAAAAAAAAATTTTTAAATTGTAATAGTTATACTAATTAAAATATTTCCGCATAGACGCATAGAATTTTCCATCCATTATATGCCTAAAACAAAAAAGACTAGTAGTATCCTTTATACAAAAACCATCCCAGACAAATATTTTACTTCGATCCTTTGGCATTAAACGAACTGGCCTTTCATTCTTATACTAATGCTTTATCATGTTACAGTATAATTGGAAAGCCGTTTTGTCACTAAATAAGGTCTTTTTCTAATCATTATCTTTATATTTTTAGGCCCATTCAACATGTTTTTGCTTATGGGCTAGTGTTAGCATTAGTGTATAAAGGGAAGTACATTTTGATATCCAAGGTCAGCAAAATGCCTCGAAACTGTTAAGCAGGAAACATTTACTCCAATATCTTCCAATTTAACAGTAGCAGACTTGACAAAAAGTGAGGGTCCCTTCGAATATACTGTCTAATTACCCAGGATGCATTTGATGTTATTTTTTTAATATGTCTACTACCACTTTTATGTTTAACATACAAATAACTTTAATTTTTTTAAAAGTTTCGGTAGAATCTTTGTCAATGAGTATTTCAGCAATATTATAAATCCCTATGACGTGTTTAGATGATATTAAAGCTTATCAATAGAGTATCATAAGGCTTATTTTATGCATATATCAGTTACATTTGTTGATCTTTTTTTAAAAATTCTGATATATTAAGCTTTGATAAATTCCTTCGTATTACTAAATAATATCAATAAATAGGAACACATAAATTTTGAAATCTGAGTCCAAAATATTAAGACCACCTATGTATTACATCTATTATATTATTTTTTAATCGCTATATCTATTACATTTGGTTTTATTGATTACTAGAAAAAAAAACCATAGTAAATTGCAATATTAAAAAAA